CCGCTCTTGTAAAAAAAAAACCTTACACCGCACGAGAATTAGAGAAAAACAATATTGCATATGAAGATTACTAAAAATTAAGAATCACAGTTGGCAGAAAAAGTATCAAGTAATTAGGCTCAACATAACTCTAACAATAGTCTTTCAAAGATTCATTACACGTTGGTACCGTTACAAAAGTTTATTTTATCCCTAAAACAAAACCAGATAATAATGCATAAAAGTATACTGTGCAACCAATAAGTTAAAAGGAAAATGGTAAAAGGAACTAATAGAAATTTATACTAGTTCTCTTCACTTCTCATAGTTTAGACACCAAAACAAGACTTTTCCTGTAATTTTCGGAGCTACCAAATGATTAATCCGAAGCATAAATTTGCAGTGTGTGAAGTGTGCGAGAATCATAGAGATTAGATATTTACGTATGCAAGAAGACCGCGAGTCTCAGAAGTATGCGAATCTGTATTCTTTCTGCCACTCAGGATTTCCAACAACAAGACTCCAAAGCTATAGACATCAGATCTCTCAGAGATGAGGCCTTGATGAGCGTATTCAGGAGACATATAACCTCTGAACACCATAATTTGTTTCAATCAAGCTATTAGCAGATTCGTATTTTTTTTTCTTTCAAGTAGTAATGTAATATATGCAAACAATTAAGTTCCTATGATTTGTGAAATTTCTTCTTGTTCGCTTACATGGTTCCAGCAGGTTTTGTGGTGTTTTCGTGTGACTGATTCACTCTAAATATTCTTGCCATTCCGAAATCTGATATCTTGGGATTCATATCGTTATCCAACAAAATGTTGCTAGGCTTAAGGTCTCTGTGTATAATCCGTATCCTCGAAAATTGATGAAGATAAAGAAGCCCTTGAGCTATCCCTTCAATGATTTTTACTCGTATCTGCCAAGTAAGTAGCTTGCAACGAGTTCGATCTGTCATACAATCAAATGATCATATGTTTGTCCACAATTGTTAAAGTACCATCAAAGGAACCTTTTCTATATAAGTTGAAAAACAAAAACTTGAAGAGCTACAAACCATAGAGGAAGAAATCCAAGCTTTTGTTTGGCATGTATTCGTAGATCAAAATCTGCTCTTTTCTGTCAATGCAGCATCCTAAAAGTCTAACAAGATTATTGTGTTGAAGCCTGGCTATGAGATGTGCTTCAGTTTTGAACTGATCCTTTCCCTGCCCCGATTTTTTCGAAAGTCGTTTTATAGCTACCTCGTATCCTTTCTTTAAAGTTCCCTGAGAATAATGGTCTTCAACTTTTCTGAACTATAATATTATAAAGTATTCAAGCCAATGAAATTAAGTCAAACCTTGTAAACAGGTCCGAAGCCACCCTCTCCAAGCTTATGTGCCTTCTTTAAAGTTCCCTGAGAATAATGGTCTTCAACTTTTCTGAACTATAATATTATAAAGTATTCAAGCCAATGAAATTGAGTCAAACCTTGTAAACAGGTCCGAAGCCACCCTCTCCAAGCTTATGTGCGTCTGAGAAATTATCTGTAGCAGCGGCCAAACTAGAAAATGTGAAAAACACCAACTTGCATGGCTTTTTTCGATTCCTACCTCTTTTCCGCAATTGACTAAGATCGGGAAGCTCGGAGTGGGTATGTTTTAGGCTCATTTCCACATCAAATAGTAACAAATTTTCCCCTGTTCGATCACATATAATAAACAAAATTAGTCATGAAGTATGTGATCCCCTACATTTACTACAAGTCCAATGACAATAAAGGGTAACTTGAAAATGATATTGAAACAGACTATGTCTTAATTTTACACAACATCTCCTAGCTTCATTATTCTTGTGTTTTCATGATTAGACAGATATATTTTAATTTTACATGTTACAGGAATTAAAAAAAAAAAAAACACACACACACACACAAATCAAATGCTACCACATAGGGGTTTTCATGGATTTGGTCAATCTGCAATTTAATCCGTAACTGTTTCAGTTACGGTACGTCTTTTTTTCTCTCCTGAATCTAATTATCATTATTGTTCAGCCATTGCATAGATATTCTTACATACCTTTGTTTGCAAGATTTCTTCTGTAACAGACAACTATAGCAAAAATCAACATCATCCCAATTACAATCGCTAACGCAATCATCAAAACATCTATTTTGATGCCTTTCTTAGTCTTATGTTCTGCATCTGGAGTACTTCCATTGCAAGCCGTTCGGTCTGCACACCAAAAAGGAAAATGAAATAAATGAAAGGGTTAAAAAGTTTATTGCATCCTCCTTAAAATAAAACTGACAAACAAAAATACAAACTTACAACTACAGGATTTCATTGAATCCGGGCTTAGAAGCCAGCGTTTGTCCTTTGCAGACCATGACTGTAGTTGAAGCAGCCCTGACTCATCCAACAGTAGCCGAGAAATCTCCGACCCTGCCTCTCCAACAATGGTGAAATACCCTTTACTAAACGAAATCAAATCGAATAACGAACTGCTGTTCTTACTCTCGTTCCGAAACACAAAACACGTATCTGACATGTTCTTGACGATTAGCTGCTGCTTAGCTGAATCCAGCTCAAGAGAGAAATCACCAGGAGAAGGGTCATCATCACTTTTCCATGACACTAAACAGGAATTCCCTTCACTAAACTTCATACCGGGCAAAAGGGTACTCGTAGGATGATCAAAACTTTGCCAGAGAGTATTTCCTGAACCATTCTCTCTCAGCACAAAATTTCCTGAATTTAATAGCATGGCATAAACATCTTTGCTTGTTGAAGTAATGTTTGTGACCATGTAGGACATTCTACCGTCGCGAATCACGAGGTTTCCATCGGAGCTGATGGTGAGAGTAGCAGAAGGAGTGAGGACAGGATACTCTCTATTAGCAACCCAAACATAGGGGTCGTCATTGATGTTCTTGTACCATATTCCCACATACCATTTCTTAGGATTTTTTTGAGGTGAGAAAAAGCCAAGCTCAAAGTCATCGCTGGCTATTGTCTCCGAAACATTGATCGATTGGCCACTGCGGATTTTGGTTGTAGCTTTGGTGAATGACAAACAAAGGGACACTAGAATCAAAGGAAGAAAGCAAGCGGCACTAGATAAAGTATTGCTCTTTGTCATGCCGTTGTGTTTGAGAAAGTTGAGAATATTGGATTGCTGGTATTGATTATATGTTTTTCTTGTTAGAGACTTGGAAGCATGACAAGTGCTTTTTAATGCTTTCTAAGCACTTTTTTCATTTTTTTTTTAGTTGAAAAACATGGCTTTTCCGTACTAGTTCTATGATCATTATAATGCATACGGAATAAAAACCTGACTAGCTAGTTTTTTCTTTTCTTTCCTTTTTGCTCTTAAAGAAAAAAAAAAGAAAAAAAAAAGAAAAAAGAAAAAAGAACATAGACAAGTGGTATCTTTACGTCCCACGAAGCGACATTTTCATATTCTAATGGGAACCACACTAGAATGAACAAGGGACAAACTCTAAACACTTTCTAAGCTATCTTGAGTCTTCATTCCAAGCGTGAAAAGGTAGTTCACTGTGTTCAGTGGCTAGACCAGCTGTTTAACCTTAGGACTAATAGCAAAAACGTGAATTATCGTTGATCATATGTTCAGATCTTTGACTGTATTAACAGACATACATAAAGCTCTACACACTATTTTTAGGTGGTGTAAAAATTGTATTGACCAATTACTGGGTTGAAAACTGACTAGTAAGCTGCGGTAAGATTTATAGCATTTTCTTATATTCTATGTAGTTGTCGCGATTATATGTTTTTTTTTTTAATGATCGAGCATATGAAATCTAATTGTCTGTTAGTTGATTGAAGTGAAATTAGGACGTTCTGGGAAAAAAAATAAACAAAAGAAAAAACAAACAAACATCAACAGTCAAGGATGGAGCAAAGATATGCATTTTGTTTTTTTTTTTGGAAGGGGGAGGCGTCAAACTTTAGGAAAATCACGATCTCAATAAACAACAGATTCCGCTGGTAAAGTTAAATATGATGTTCGATGTTCAAAGGAAATAAATGCATACGAGTTCCTAAACCGGACATGTAAATAAAATAGGTACTCTAACGATCAAGTACACGTATGATTATTTTTCAAATCCTCTATAATCAATTGAAAAAATAGAATCCACCGAGATCGAGAAAGCCATATCACAAAGCGACACAGAACACAAATCTATCAGACAGGCTAAACACCAAACAACAGATAGCAAAAAAAAGATGCCCACACAGTCGTCGTCATAGGAAACACACCACCAAGCATATCGAACTCCAACCGAACTTCGATACAGATGGGCGTGCAAGGAAAGATGCTCCAAACTATCGGCCACCAAACTCCAACCGAACTTTGTTGTGCTCCAACGGAGGCTCCCGACGCACACTGCCAACACCATTAACAAGCGCAGATCCAAGAAAGCTTGAGACCAGATTTCAGGGTTGAGAGCCCGACAACGCGCCCGAAGGCAGTCTAGGTCCTTTCTCGACAGGCCTCTCGATCGGCGTTACGTATTAGTCTTATAGTATGATCACTTACTAAGTCTAAAACTCATAAAATGTTATAAACACAATTCTATATGACCAACAAATAAAATTGTTATCCGACTCCGCACCAGATCGCTCTGAAAGAAATTCAGTAATTGGGTCCTACTGAAGTGGGAACTAGAATCCGGTAACTTGTTAGCTTCACTCGACAAACAAATTAATTATACTCTGATTGGTTAATTATACTCTCATAAAATGTGGCAAAATAATAGCACGTTTACTCCCTTAAATTTAGAGCAAAACCTCTAATCAGAACTCATAAACAATATTCCAATAATTTCAATCCTTAAAATTCTCAAGCAAAGAAAGTACTTATAAATTTCAAAACCATAAAAAAAAAAACGAAAAAAAAAAACATTAAAGTTCCTCCAATAATAATGGTACTTTTGCAATATTATTAAATTCTTGGATAGTTCACTTAAAAAAGACTGAATTAATTCATAGCTTTAGCTATTTCTAAAAGTAAAAATAATAATCATAATAATAATAATAATAATAATAATAATAATAATAATAAAACAGCAACGTTAATCTTTTATGGTACTGCAATGCGTTCGATCGACTTCATCATCATAGCAACTGGGCTTGGGATGCACTAATTTAGAACCATATACAGATAGAAACAAACGAAAAATGTAAGAGTTTTATTCGAGACAAGGTCGGACCCTTTTAGATAGTAAAAACAAAATAAATAATGCACCAAAAAATAATCACGATCATCTTGATCAAAAACGAAATATAATATCACGATCAATATCCCAGTAAACCTTGTGAATCACGATCTCTTCCTTATTTACATGCTTCGTTTTCTTCTTAGTAGCGAGACAACTGATCACCAGGGTCAACGACACTAAACATTCCGTTTGGCCTTTTATGCTCTTAGTTGTCATGAATGAGAAATTTATCATAATTTTTGTATAAGATAAAATTTTTTGAAATCCTTTGAATTATTAATATGAATACTTTTATGATAAGTATTTGTTGATATCAATAAAGAATAGCAAATTATAAGCTAAACCTCAAAAATTTCAAAGGTGCGATGCAGTTTATCGATTTTCAGACTATATTTAAGAAAGAGTCACAGAACGTTGTGTTAAACCCACAAGTGGGTAAACACATGAATGTTAAGTTTAAGAATTGAAAAATATTAATTCTAGGGTTTTAGAAACAATTGGAATGAAAAACGGATGAAAAAGGGATTTGGAGGGCCGAACTGAGAAAATTGAGGTTTTCGACTGAATAGGGTTGACCAACTCAAAATTTATTGACCAAGAGTCGATCAATAACTCACTCTTGAAATGATAGTCAAGGTTAAACAAAGTTGACCAAGTTGACCAATTGTCTGAAAAATGCGGATAAAACACGCACCGGATAGGAATTAAATTGAACTGAAATAATATAGATATTAGAGATGGATGGTTGAGATTTAAAATGATTTAATGGATGAAGGACTAAGATTATGACATGTGGAAAGCAAGGTGGCCGGCCAAGCTTAGTGAAGAACGAAAGAAAGAAATTTTTTAGTGAAATTTTTGCAAAACGGTCCTTGGAAAGTGCCAAAATTACATTTTAGTCCTCCCACTTTATTAGGTCCGGTTTTTAAGAGATAAAAATACAACTAGATGCTCATTTTTCATGCCAAGAACCAGAGAGCATCAGCCAAAGAGAGGAGCAGAAAAAAAAAATTCACCCAAAGTGAGAAAAATGAGTTTTAATCAAAATTGACGAAACTACACCGCTAGTTATAATCACTAAGGACTTCTCTTCATTCTCTAAGGTAAATTTCGGTTTTCTTCTCACTTTTTTCTACTCTGACTGCACGTTTAAGTATGGGGGAAAACATGAAAAAAAAAAATTTCTTCAGATGATGATTAAGCTTGTGGTTGTTAAGCAATTGGAAATCTAGTGCTTAAAGGATGACTTATTGGTTATAAGATTTTATTTCTAGCAATTTTTGGTTAGGGAGAATTGTTGTCAAAATTCATATGAAACCCGAATTGTGATGTGATTGATGATAAAGTTGTATGAGAAATATTGTGGTTTTTGTTTAAAGGTGGAAACAACGGATAAAATGAACTATGGTTAGCTCAGGAAACACGGGAAATTAGGCAGAATTCTGCCGAAATTTAGTTTGAGACTTTGAGTTAGAACCGGTTTTGATAAGGAATAGGAGAATTAAGATGTAAAAAGTAAGTTGATTCGATGATCGGAGATATATAGAAAGCTAAAACGATGAAAATTCTCAGTTTCGGACCAAAACTAAAAACTAGGTTATTGACCTAAAAATTGAATCCGGCGCTGTTTTGGGCTAGAGAACTAAGATAAAAGCTTAGTTTTAAAAAGTCACCAACATAATGTCAAAGGAAATTTCACTCCGAACAACTTTTGTGAAATAACGTGTTTCTCAAAAACGACTGTAGACATCAGTTTCGGGCAAATTTTTGAAATAGGTCCAAAATGTGATTTTAGGTAAAAGTGCACGGGTTTGGTGAATATTGACGATATAGGTAATGTTTTGGTCTGAATAACGTACAAGAAATCGTAGATCTCTTTAAGAATTTTTGGAAACGGCATACTCACTTTAAGAAAATAACATTTATGAAACCACGAATTCGGATCAAATTGTATTTCAATTACTAATCTTAGATTGTAAATCTAATAATTAGAAATTTATATGATAGGACCAATAGGTGATCAAGGAAGAAATGTTTCCAGACACTCGAAATCTGTGACCTTAGCGGAACTCGTGTAAATACAATAGTTTGTCTATGTCTATACCACGAACAAGACAATTTCTTTGTGTTGCACAAAATTGTGCATATGATGATTTCTTTGTACGTCACTAAGTGAAAGATGTTACCTGAAACTTGTTTGGTGCTTTGAATGTGCTTATAGACTTGTATTAGCCGTAGAAATTTAATCTGCGATAAAGTCAAAGTTAAAGTCAACAAAAGTCAAACATTTGAATAAAGTCTAATTTCTTAAGAAATTGGTAAGAATGCTCGAAGATGTACCAATAAGACTAAAATTACTGTCATAATATGGAAAAATGACAATAAGATGAAAAGATTAAAAATATTGTCACAATATAAAATGATGACAGTAAGATGATGTGCAAATAAAGATGGCAAACGATAAGAAGTTAATAATACTGTTTGTACCAGCCTTCGCAAGGAAAGGTTATTATGTTTATGAAATAAAACCGTGAGTGAGTTGGTTATGGTTAGCAACCCTACTCCTCACTAGTTATACGCGCAACGGTACAACAGGATGGGCCTCATAAGAAGTAAAAGCTATGAAAAATGAACAACACAAAAATGAAAAATGTGAAGAAGTATGAAACAAAAGAAAAGAGTGCATAATACAAAAGAAAAGAAAGCATAATATGATGAACACTTTTAATGTTTAGGAAGTGTGCTAGGACGTATGATATGAATGTATATATGGGTATGCATTATTGTTTGGTATTTATTGTGATCTACTGTTAGTTGCTGAGCGGAAGATAATTAGGTTTGTTTGTGTTGGAGGAAGCTCAGGTAAGGCACCGGCTCCCTAAAACCTGTTTGT